TTATCTATCAGCTGGAAGGATGGACCACGAGGTCCTAGGCGTCATCGATGAACATGGCTCAGAGGGAAGATAATGGCAGTGCGAGATGATGATGAGATCACCAGGTGCTGATTCCGGAGTGAAAATAGAAACCACGTACTACTACTAGCTGGTAGCTGGATATACTTTGATGGCGGTGCAGTGTGTCATTGGCACTGCAGCGAGGAGGACCTATCTTTCTCTCTCCTCATTCACAGTATTGTTCTGGATTTAACGAGGTCTTCTATAGCTATTTAATTTGATTACTATTTATTATGCAAATTAATTATAATATTAAAAAGTAGTAAACTCCTCAACAAGTTACGAGTCTCCCCGACATGGCTAGTCCCAGTCGGCAAATGGGACTAACCAAACCAGGCATCGAGACGACTGAAAGAGTCTTAGTGGCGGAGGCTTAGCAGCTGGCGCCAACCTAAAGCATCCACACACCAGCATCTCCACTTTTCTTTGGCTTGGTGTCTCCCCACTGTTTTGCTCTCTCTCTCTCCAATCTCTCTGTTTGTGTCTGTCTCGCGGTCTCGCTTTCTTTCCCCCAGAGAGGAGGCGCCTTTCCTTAGTTTCTGCCCCCCCTTTAACCCGAAGCTGTGTCCCCTGGCGCTGATGACGGTCCATTCAGCGCAATTCCGACCATTCAGGGCTCTCCGTAACCATGGGCCGTTGTTGACACTCGCCGCCCGCCTCCTCCCCTCTCCCTAACTCTCTCTCTCTTTCGCTCGCTCGCTGGCTTTCTCCGTTCTCTTTCCCAGTTCCCCAGGTACCCTCGCAAAGGGATTACTTTCTCGACGGCTACACTGCCCTCTTCCTCGTTCCCTACTCCTGCTAGTAGTACTTACTTACTAGTTGATGCCACGGCTTTGTTGCTAAGGCGTCGTTCGTTCCTTCCACACACGCACCCCTCAAGTACCTGGCTCTCTGCCTATCAACTTCCATTCCTTCATTCATTATTTTATAATTCTTTTTTCCCCTTCCCTTTTTTTGTTTCCCACCCTTGCGACCCAAGTAAAATTACGCACTCCCTCTACTTAATTGTTTTTCAATCTTCTTGTCTGCTTTGGGTTACAATTACTTAAACAACGCCTCTGTGGCTTCCTCTTTTCGTCACTTTTCCCAATAAATTCCCTCCCCGCCCGTCCAGTCCAGCGCCATTGGGGCTTCCGATCAACCTCCCCTACTAGTGTTACTACTACTAGGCCATTCCACCACCACCACTACTGCTTAGTTCTATACTACTACTAAGTGGTCGTCTCTTGGTCCAAACTTTCTCTTTCACCCTTGCGCCGGTCCTTTCCTGGTTCAGTTACCTCGTTCGCGCTTTATACTCTTAGACTCAACAATCCGTCTGCAGAGTAAACTAAAAGCAGAAAAGGGGAAAAAAGAGCCAACCAGCCAGTTTCACGGCCGTTCATTCCTTCAGTCAACCTTGACGACCCCAGGTCATTATCCTCCCGCGGACACTCGCGTTGCAATTGCCTAAACGTTGCCGGTGCACCCACTCCTGTCCTACGAGTCTATGTTGGTAGTACCGTGTTGAGCCTCGCATCTATTTTCCGCCGGTGTACTCTTATCGCACCCATCACCCCCAGGCCCTTCCCGTGGAAAAAGAGCAGATACCGTTCGATTAGATCTCAGTCCCTCGCGGCCGTCTGCACCTTTCCTTTCTCCGTGACACGAATTTACGAATTGCGATAAATCAATCAGAGGATTAGTCCTTACATCGGGATACGAATCCGCCTCACGTCTGTACACTTGCGCACTCCCCTATTGAGCAGGTGTCGTTCAGGGCCCCTGCACCCTCTTTCAATATGCGACGTGGACTTCTCATTTTCCTCATCGCAAACCTCGTCATCGTCACATTCCTCGTGCGCAGCGTCTTCACACTACTCTCCCTGCTAGTGGAAGATGCTTCCGCCGACGCTATCCACCGCGCCGAGCTCCCCTCACCAAACTCCAGTTTGATCGAGCAACGCCCTCAGATCATCCCCAAGATCATTCACCAGACATACAAGAACGAAACGATCCCGGAGGTGTGGAGGGAGGCTCAACAGAGCTGCATTGATTTGCACCCGGACTACGAATACATTGTATGTTCAGCCTTGTTGATGTACGACTCGTTCACATGAGTATTCTTACTAATGCGCATTCAATTTAGCTCTGGACCAACGAAAAGTCGCGCGAATTCATCGCCAACGAGTACCCTTGGTTCCTCGAGACCTTCGATGGTTACAAGTATCCTATCCAGCGTGCTGATTCGATCCGCTACTTCGTCCTCGCACACTACGGTGGTACCTACATTGACCTTGACGATGTGTGTATAGCCTATGTTCCATCAATTGTAACCTTTTCTGACCGTATCTCAGGGATGCAACCGCCGGCTAGATCCTCTCCTCGCCTACCCTGCCTGGGTCCGTCGCACTGTTCCTACCGGTATCTCCAACGACGCCATGGGATCTGTTCCCCAGCACCCCTTCTTCCTGCGTACGATTGAGCTACTGCAGTCGTACGACCGCCATTGGCTCCTCCCGTACATCACGGTTATGTACTCGACTGGTCCCCTGTTCTTGTCGGTGATCTGGAAGGAGTACATGCAGACCAACCCCAGCGAGTCTGGCCGTGTCCGCATCTTGATGCGCGATGAGTACAACCGGTACTCGTGGAGCTTCTTCACGCACCACGTAGGCAACAGCTGGCACGGCAAGGATGCCCGCTTGATCTTCTGGATGGGCCAGCACTGGGTGTTCCTCACCGTGTGCGGCTTCTTCCTGGCTGCCGTTGTTGGATTTGCCCTCTGGTGGCTGTATGCGCGCATCATGCTGTTGGGATCGAAGTACCGTTACCGCTACTCGAAGATTCCTTCCTTTGTTTCGAGTTCCCGTCTGTCTTCGCCGACAAGGATGGGGCGGCGCATGATGCCTACCCTTCTTCGTCGCGTCAGCTTCAAGGAGGACGAAGAGGCCGCCGGCGTTACCGAAACGTCGTACGAACTCTACAGCAGACGCGATTAAGCGTCGCCCTTTGTATCATGTTTTGTGTGCCTTTCAGCCTTCCAGCGCCCTGACACTTTCCACCTGGCCGTTGTTCATCGTGCCCGTGGAGTAGCCGCTCAGGTGTGTTTTATATCATCCGCTCAGGGAGTTGTATTTGATTTCTGGGGTGCATGTACGGAGTTTTGGGTATGGATTAACAGCAGTGCTTCTCTTGAAGCACATGACGGCTTGTACATGTTTTGGCAAGATTCTTTGATCTGTGCGAGGCAACCTGCTAGGCAGCGCGCTCGCCTTGTATCTGTCTTTCTTGGATGTCCGGATTTACCTTTCTTTTCTTTTTCTTTGACCTTCTCTTCTTGAACCCACAGTTGTTCCTTTCGCACCTGTTTGTTTACACCTTACATCTTTTACTGTTACTACATAGACTTGCTTTCGATTTTGGGTAGACGGAACCGAACTATCAGCTCAGACGCCTGGGGCTAGCTGGACGGCAAAATAAAACTAATATGTGATTATCTCGACACTACTGTGTTAACTCCTTGATTATGTAATATTATGTTTCATGCTTCGTGAGGCTACCTCCAATCATTAACACGTCTAACGACCAATGCAGGCCCTGAAGAACGAGGCTTGAAAGTCAGTCTGCAGATCATACATACGACACGACCAATCAAGGTATCTGGTGGTCAGATAAGCACAACTGGTCATGGAGAAGATTTAAGACGGGCGTTTCACATTTGCCGGAGGTTCGCCAGGATCCAATCGCCGTCAATATCAGCACAAGGAGGTATGATACTTGATACATTTGGGCAGAGGTATCTCTGGCAATTTCCGGACATGCCAACGCAGTGTCGCCAGATGCAACAAAAGTCCAACCAACATGTGGCGACAGGCCAGGCTATGTGAGATGCCTCTGGCTGATGAAGGACCCTCCAGACCCTGATCCACCCTCAGGAATGCGGAGTCGATCAGGCATGCTGGGTCCCAACAGTGACATGCTCTGAAAGACATATAAAGGGGCTGTCCCGGTCGATGATCCTTATTCTTATGGTACTTGTGCAGGCTCACGGTGTCTTTTGTTCTTAACAGTCTTGTCCTTGGTCTTACTTCACTAGGGGTCTCAGCAACATGAAGTCAACATCAATCTTGAGCAGCATGTGCATCATGCCCTTGTTGGCATATGCATCTCCGGCCGGCCGGATCCTTGCCCGAGAGAATTCCTCCCTCACCGTGGCGCAGCTCGAGGCTATTGCTCCTACGTCCAATACATGCGATAATCCACCTGCAGCCGGGGAATGCGCTACTGCGGAGCAAGCAGTCCCGCATATCACCAAGTCTTTTGACACTTATGGCGTGACGTCTCGCGCTGAGCAAGCAGCCGTGATTGCACTCATGGCATTTGAAAGCGGCGATTTCAAGTACAACAAGAATCACTTTCCCGGTGTTCCTGGGCAGGGCAGTACGTATTTCCACCTTCATCCTCTGCCTGCCATGCCAGATAGAGAGGTAGATGCTAACGATGGTATACAGCACGAAACATGCAATCGCCCTCTTACAATGCCAAATACGCGGCTTCTATCCCCGCGCTCGCGGACCAACTCCCCAGCGTATCCGGGGACGTGACGGGGGTGCTGAACCTCTTGCTCTCAAACGAAGACTACGACTTTGGCTCCGGAGCATGGTTCCTGACCACGCAGTGCTCGGCTAGTGTGCGGTCCCAGTTGCAGTCGGGGTCCGAGGCAGGCTGGGCAGCATACATCACCAACTGCGTAGGGACCAATGCCAACGACGATAGGAAAGCATACTGGACACGGGCAACACAAGCCATGGGTATATCTACCTGAACCCTCCACCTACTCATACAACATCACACATAGTGTATAAATAGTATATACTATATGCATACCGTTCAAACCGACTGTAGTCAAACCAACCAACATACTCATCATAACATACCATCCATCCATAAAAAAACATTTAAAGAACTCCCTTCGTACTAACCACATCCCCGGCCCCAACCTCCCCCTCGACCCGTCTCGTACAAGCCGTCCGAATCGCCACCGCCAACGCCTTAAACGCACTCTCCGCCCGATGATGATCATTATCACCATACGTGCACCCCACATGCAGCGTCACTCCCGCGGCCTGCGCAAAACTCTGCAATCCATGCGTAATCATCTCCGTACTCAAATCGCCAATCTTCTCCCTCCGGAACCCAATGTTAATCACCGCCCACGGCCGACTCGACAGATCAATCACCGCCCACGACAACGCCTCATCCAGCGGCGCATCGCCCCGTCCGAATCGCGCAAGCGATTGTCTTGCCCCGAGTGCTTCGGTGAATGCGCTGCCTAGGGCTAGGAATGTATCTTCCGTTGTGTGGTGGTCGTCGACTATATACACCAAACCCCCCCGTAATTAGCA